GCTTGCGCACTGAAGCATCCTACCCCTTCCTCGCCGCCCACCCGGCCCAAACATCCGCGCAAGCATTGCCGTGGGGGGGTGAGGCTTGGAAGGGAGAGGTAAGGCGCTCTGGCTCAGCCTCCAGGTGCGAAGCCGTCCAAACTACTGAGACCCCTCCAGGGCCACGACCGTCAGCGGCCTTCTTAACACGGATCCAGAGGTCAGCATTCTTCCGTCGGGGGTGAGTCGCGCGGCCAGACCTCCAGCCGTCAACCGCAGGCTTACAGTCGCAAACATACACGACATCTCCGCGGGAATTCTCGAGCCCGATCGCGAGGGCCAGGATCTCCGAGCGGGGCGCAGTTTGGCGGCGTCCAGGGAGGCAGGCGGATACACCGCAGACGGGGGCCCACAAGACACCAAAAGGGTCCCCTTCGGAGGCTCTGCGGATGACCACCACTGCAGCTCCACACCTACGCCGTCTCTCATCAGAGCTATGCTCTCCCCCTGAGCCGTCCCCGAAAATGTACAGGGGAGGCCCGTCAGGGGCCGCGCGGAGATCCAGGGGCCGAGCCTGACCCAGGAAAACGGGCTCGGAAAAATCGGGCCCCTCCAGGAACCTTGGCACAGTGAGGCTCACTGGGGGGAGACCACGTAACCACAGAGCAGGCTCAGCATCTGCAGAAGCCAAAGCCTGTGGGATCAGGGCATCAGTAGATGAATAACCGGCGTGCCCGCAATTTTTATCACACTCCCACGCACGGTGGAGCAGCGTCTCAGGCGAGGCCCCGCACCTCGGGCAGGCCAAGTCCACCTCGAAGCCCAGGTCGGCCTGCCTCTGCTGCGTCCACTGGCCGCCTGATACCACCACCAGCGTAGCGCTCCAAAGGTCCATCTCGCCACGCTTGGCGAAGGCCTCCAACTCGCGACGTACTGGGGGGACATCAGCTCCATAACCAAGCTGGTCACCCCCAGGATGGTTAGCGGCCGTGCACCAGGCCGCCTTCTTCACATCATGCAGAACATCGAGCAGCAACTCCTCGAAATCCTCCAATACAGTGTCCGAGAAGCCCTCATCCCCAAAGGACAGGAACGTGTAATCCTCGGGCCAGAGATACCAAAACGGCGCCACCTGGTAGCTTCGATCGGATCCCAACCAACTTGCATAAGAGTAGCTTGGAGCGCTGCAACAGGCCCACGTATACCCTTCCATTGGATTGTGGAGCCGATGGATGCCTTGACCAGCTTCCACACTCTCGACACACGACGGTGGAGCATGGGGTGTGAGATCCCAAATCGGAACCATACTGATAGCACCTCACGTCGTAACTGAATGCCTGGATCACCATCGCCCAAGGTCACCTGCAACACTGTTTGCAAACAGCGGCCCCGCTTCGGCCCCGCTATAGCAGATGAGGCCTGCCTGCGAAGGGTGGTGATGGTGGTAGGGGGCATGCCGAAGACCTGATGGCCGTAAACAGCGGGCGGCAAAACTCCAGTCCTCCATAACCCACTCGCAACCTTCCGGCTCCCTGCCATCCTGCGCAAACGAGAAACCTTGGCACCGCGAGCCGACGCGCGACGGACTCTGCTGCGGAACTTGGTGCGAATACGTTTCCTTGGCGCGGCTGCGTCAACGCCCAGATCCACCGCTGCGGGTACGAAGGACACAGGAATTCCCCAGCTCCACAAGGTAGCCTCCAGTTCCTGTCCAAGACCATCCCCCACTCGCGATCAGCTTTGTTGTGTCCGAGATCGTGGGACGATGGTCAGCAAAGGATTTACAAAGATAACCAGCAACAACCTTCATGCCCCCAACCACAGTGGCACGCACACCTTCAGCACGACAAACCGTGTCATCGAGGAAGGTCCATAGTCCCGCCCTTGGACAAGCAATATGCGCCTGTTGAAGAAGGGCGTGGGACATCACCTTAGCCATGTCCACCCCCCGCGGTGAACCCGCGACGATAGACTTACCTGGGTCTAGAGGAGCGCTGATCAAAGGCCCCTTCTTGATGAGGCGGGGCGCAGCGTGCATGCCAACTTCCAAGAGAGTGATAATGGCAGGGTACTGGAGGGACCGACTAGCTTTCACCAGGAGAACCAAGCTGACCGAGTCATAGAACTTCTGCAAATCCAAGAACAGCGTCGAGTGCGATCTGCCCAATGCATTAGAACATTCGTCCATGACCGCTCGGGCCAGGGCAGCGCGTAGCGCCGATGATCCAGCGATAGCCGTATCCCAGAAGGCGCCCTGCTTATGTGTCCAGGACGTGGATGGGACAGCGCGCATGCGGCCCCATACTTTGGCGGTGGTGGGTAGAAGTCCAAGAATCCTATGACCTCCTGACTCTTTCGGGATGGAAGCACCAAGAACGGCAGATACCTCCTGAGGCCAAACTCCAGCACGCTCAACCTCGTTGAGCAAGCAGAGGAACCCCCGACGTCCGACATCTGGTAATCGAAGCAGGTCGTTGGGCCCAAGAGCATCCACTCCACGAGCCTTGTTGGGTGACATAATGCGGAGCGTGGCGTCGAGTTGCTCTAGCTCAAAGGGTGGCAGCCCCTGCACCAGAGCATCCTGATGCAACAACCCCATCCAATAATGCAGGTCAGCTTCAGTATCCACCTCCCCAGTCCAGATACCATTCCAGAACTTGCGCTTGCCTTCTACTGTGGGTGACTGGTAATATGGCCATCAGGGCCCAGGCCTTCCCATTCAGGAGCAACATCAGGCTTCACGTGGCGGTGAGCAAGGCCTGGCTTGGTGCGCCACTGCTCTCGGATCCAGACCATAAAGCTAGCTCTCGAGGCTGTCATTGCTCGGGACGATGCCCAGTCAGCCCAACGATGTGCCAGACCAATGAGAGACCCCAAGGTTTCATCATCCAACTCATCAAAATACTGGGCGTCCTCCGCCCAAGCTGAAGCCAGTTCAAAAGAGGCCTTCTTGCCAAAGAAGGCGTCCTTCTGGTTAAGGTCCAAGGTGCAAAGGTGCTGCCGAATTTGTGCCACTGCGCCTGCTGCCTGAAGGTCATCAGAACGATTGACCGCAAGACATCGGTACCTGCCCAGCAACGTAGTGGTGATGCCCCACCATTCTGCAAACGAATTCTTCATGTGTGTACGTCCTGGAGCTGCCTTGAGCTTTGACCACTTCCGCAAAGGGCCTGCTGTCCGTCCAACATGCTGGCGACGACCATGGCCCACAACAGCTTCGGTATCCAGGATAGCTTTCTCCGCGGTGGCAACCCAGACTGCGTATCTGTCTGAAGCTGCTTGGCGTTAACACTACGCCACCGTAGCACTCGGTAGCCGTCGTATGCCACAGCAGCTTCGACGCCGCGTGGTCGAGAATGCCAGGCGCGCGCGCGAGCACTCGCCGCTGCAGGTGCCAATGCTTGGTCCTCGATGCCAGAGCCGAGAGAGGGAGACTTGCACTGCGAACGGTCCGACGTAGTCGGCTCGGCTCCTTCCTCCGCTGCAGATGCCTCGGTGTGTCGTGGAACGCCTTGCCGAAAAGCAACGTGGAGCGCGCCGTCAGGTGCAACAGTACTGACCACGCCTAGGTGCCCAGCAAGCAGCTCACTAGCTTGATCTCGATACTGACACGGATTATTTCGAGGCTGAATCGGGAAGAGACGTGGGGGCGATGAGGAGGCCCGTACCTCAGGAGGGCCCCCCATGATAGTCTGTCCAGAATCGCCACGCAACCATGCAACAACTTCTTCGTCATCATACGAGCTTTCACCGCGACCTCCCAGGGAATGCACATCCTGGGCCACGGCCGATGTAGACGAAGTACCTGAGTAATGACCAACCAAGCATGCTGCAGCTCCTTGGAGGGAAAACCCGCGGCCTCCCAAGGAATGCACATCCTGGGCCACGGCCGCTGAAGTCGAGGTACACGCATACATGCTACCACCGCGACCTCCCAGGGAATGCACATCCTGGGCCACGGCCGCTGTAGACGACGTACCTGAAGAATGAACATCCAAACGTGCTGCAGCCCCATGGAGGGCAAGCCCGCGGCCTACCAGGGAATGTACATCCTGGGCCACGGCCGCTGCAGTCGAGGTACTTGCAGCTAGACCACCTGGAAGAACGCCTTGCTGACGAAGCTGAGACACGCGAGGGGGTGGGCGAGGCCCGTTCAGGTACCGAGCAGCGACCTGCCACCAAGACCCCGTACACTTGGGCGTGGCAGCTGAAGGGGTAGCTTGACACGCCGCACGGGGCCGAGCCTCCTCCGATACAACAAAGGGTATGGCCGCTGCCTCAGGCTGTGGACCCAACAACTCCTGGACCTCCATGTAGCTGTCCACAAGCTCCTCAGCGAGAGCCTCCTGCCGTCGACGCTTGACAGCCGCCAATCGAGCCTGTCTCTTGCTGCCAGGATCTGGAGAAGCCTTGGGGCGCGGCGTAGACGACAAACTCCGAGGCACCATGGGCTGAGAGACCCATCGCTCCGTACGGGCGCCCTTGATTGTGATGTTCAATCCACAGTGTGTCTTCCAGGGTACGTTCGGAACGCCAGCAATCTCCAAGGTGGGGCAGGAACTGCTAGCAATAACGTAACCGTAGAGCCGCCCAGAATCTTTGTCGCACGTGACAAAACAATCAGGCCGCTCTACCCTAACATTCATCTTATCGACCCAACCACTTTGAAACAATACGGAAGGTTCGCAGGTCCAATCAGCGATTACAAACCATGGGCCCGCCAAGGCCCGAGTGAAGGAGCCGAGGGCGACCATGATGTCATTGTTGATGCCGCGAAACATGAGCCCATGCTGGAGGTAGGCTGCAATCACCACAACATTCCCCGTGTCCTCAGGTGCATGGTCAGAGGGGCAAATCCCTTGCAGGTGTCCTGCCTGTCGTCCATACGGGCCTGGGCCCTCATGTACTGGAACGACGAGCTGGCAATGAACTTTCGGGTAGGGGGTCCACTCCCCACCGCTCAACCCATCCTGGGACCTTCCACTCGGCCTCGCAGGAGTAGAGGACAACTGCCAACCATCCTTGCGCTGCCCTGGTGGGTCTCGACCAGCGCTGCCGCCGAATGCTTGTAGACTTTCTCCGTGAGGTACCGTCGGGCCTGCGGGCCCTTCCCCGTGATGTTGCAGAAGAAAACCTTCGCGTCCTCGGCAGCGCCGTCGCCAGCAGTGCTAAAGAGTCTCCTTGGGCGAACCAGGCGCAGCAGCTGCTGCGCCAGCACCAGAGCCACGAGGAGGAACGGGATCAGCCCCCATGGCCGAGAGGCGGGCGGACACCTGGATGAACTCGACCATGCGGGCGCGCTCCTCGGGGGAGAGCTTGCAACTCTTGGTGGGGCCCTTGCCGCCCTTGGGGCCCTTGTCGCCAGCTGCCGAAGAGGACGGACCACCTTGCCCAGGAGCAGGGGCGTCGGCCTCCCCCATGTCGGCGGCCTCGTCCTCCTTGGACCCGCCTTCAGCACGCCTCTTCTTGCGCGGCGCCGCAAATGCCTTCTTGGTCGCAGCCAGGACCTCCTTAAACTCGGCACCGCGGGCCTTCGCCTGCTCAGCAACTTGCTGCAGCTGAACTTGAATCTCCTCCAACTTCTTGCGGCCCTCTTCCTCATACTCCTCAAGGTTCTCGAACAAGGCCATGTCGATGCCGAAGGGCACACACTCCGACTCGGGGGACGTGCCAACTTGGTCCCCAGACTTAGCCAGCGTAGCCTCCTGGGCCTCAATGCGACTCTGGTCCGCCTCGAAAAGCTCCTCTGCCGCCTGGGCCTGCCGACCCTTCCAATCCTCCAGCCACTTCTCTGCCGCAATAAGGGCCTTCGTCGCCTTAGCCAGCTTGGCCTCCTTCTCCGTGCAAAGGGCCGCCGCCTTGCGGAGCACGACGTCGGGGCACTGCGGCTTCAGCTGGGACTTGGAGCGCTCATCTGCATCCGCAACTTGCTGGGCCAAGGCCAGCGCTCCAGCATCATTGGACAGGCCAGTGGCGGTGAGGTACTGTCCCAGCAGCTTCGGCGGTTGCTCAGGCGCCGAGGGCAAGGCGGGCCACTCCTTGTCCCAAGCCGAATAACGCTGCCAGGGATCCTTCGAGAACCCAGTCTGGTGTGTCTTGCAGACCGCACACACGCCATGCGGTTTCTTGAGGCGCCAGTTCCACGCCCAACTGCCACAGGAGGGGCACGTGGTGTAAGCCGACGAACCATTGCTCTGCCGAGGCATGTAGTGACGTGGGCCAGCCCCCAGTACGATACCAGCAAAAAAGCTGTGGACAAGCAGTGCGACATCACAATGCCGTGCCGAATGGCACGGGATCGCAAGCGGGGGCGCACCTCCCCCGTGCCACACTCAAATCCTCAGAGCCTCCCGCTACGGACTTGAGCCAACATGGCTACGGAGGAGGAGGAGGAGGAGGAAGAGGAGGAGGAGGAATAGGAGGACGAGGAAGAGGACGAGGGGGAGGAGGAGGAGGAGGAGGACGAGGAGAGGGAGGAGAAGGAGGAGGAGGAGGGGGGAGGAGGAGGAGGAGGAGGACGAGGAGGAGGGGAAGGGAGGAAGAGAGGAGGAGGGAGGAGGGAGGAGAGAGGAGGGAGGAGGAAAAGGATGAGGAGGATGAGGATGAGGATGGGGAGGAGGAGGAGGAGGGGAGGGAAGGAGGAGGAGGAGGAGGAGGAGGAGGAGGAGGAGGAGGAGGAGGAGGAGGAGGATGAGGAGGAGGAGGAGGAGGAGGAGGAGGAGTAGGAGGAGGAGGAGGAGGAGATGGAGGATGAGGAGGATGAGGAGGAGGAGGAGGAGGAGGAGGAGGAGGAGGAGGAGGAGGAGAAGGATGAGTGGACGAGATGAGGAGGGAGGAGCGGGGAAAAAGGAGCCAGGATGATTGGGGTTCCAACTCCCCTGTTCTGATGATGCTGATGATGATGATGACGATGATGATGATGCTGCTGCTGCTGCTGATGACGCTGATGATGGTGACGATGATGATTATACTGATGATGATGCTGATGCTGATGATGATGATGATGGTGACGAGGAGGAGGAGGAGGAGGAAGTGGATGATGAACGGGAGGATGAGGAGGATGAGGAAGGGAAGAGGATGAG